GCGGCGGATCTGGTCTATGGCTCCGCCGCCAACCAAGATTCGGCTGCGGAGGGTAGGGAGAGCGGCGCCTCGCAATACCGACAATCCTCTCCCCCCCGCAGCCCCACCACCACCGCATCAACGGTGCGGCCCCGTTTGAGTCGCGAAGGATAGGGCGAGTGGCGCATCGCCATACCAACACTCCTCTTCCTCCGCGACTCCACCTAGGCTGCAGCGGTAGAGGGTGCGCGAGTCCCCACTCGCTGCAGTCCACCAGCACGCATCCGAAGTGGGCTCCCCCAAGCCTACTCGGAGCGGCCATCTCAGGCCGGCCCTTCACCTCGGGCCAGCCACGTGGGTTCCTCTTTGTTCACCGTGGGAGACCAAGCCACGGCTACTAAGCCCCCCGCCACGACAAGGCGGGAACCCGTTCGGAGGGGAGATTAAAATTACCTACGAACGCATAATCGCTGTTAAAAACAATTTCCGTAATGCCCCTGGTTTATATTTATCTTGCGTAGTATTTAAATTACAACAAAGGTGAGACATGCTAAAGTTAGTAAAAAAAGTTACAGCCTATATACGTCCCACTGCAGGGCACAGGCCTCCCCTCATTTCTGGGAGGGTTTTAGGGCGAGGAAGTGTCCGCCGCGCTACCCCAATGCGTGTTGGCGAACTTCACATGTCTTGGAAATATTTTTTTTATTCAGACGTGCAGGTTTCCTCACGATGCTTTCCTTCACCGCCGAGCACGTAATAAATCAGAAATTAAAATTGCAATTAACAATTTTAATGGTGCCGACAGGATACTTTTACCTATGAGACATGCTAAGGTTGGATTAATTGCTCTTTTAAATGTTTTTTTACTTTAAACATAAACGACCTGAAACGGGGAGACAAAGTGTTTCAATTTATTGCCTGCTAGCAAGTTTCACTCAAGCAAGCGTTGCATCGCTATTACTTTTATGAGACTCCTCTATGTTAGCCTCGAGTAAGTTTCATCGAACTTTACTCGAGATTAATTATTTAATCTTTAATATAACATATGTAAACACCCTAGCGCAATCGCAATGCAGGGTTTGCCGTTTAACTGCCAATTTGAGTGAGGCTCTAATGGATCAACTCGTTTAAATCTCGAGATACTTTTGTCTTTTGATGTTTCTTTAAGTTATAGGACATTGTTGCAGCAAGTTATATTGTTGATTTTTATAGTTTTCAAGCCAGTAAAATGTAATAGTTATTTTGTAATATGTACGTATTACGTTATATTAACTAAATTAGTAATAAAAATAAATTATTGAATACAAAACCCTCCTTTATAAAAATTTTAAAAATAGAGTCAGTGATTATACTTACAATTTCCCCACAACTGCTCCAAAACCCGGCTCAGTATTTTTGTACAAAAAATAGGTTATAAAAAACTCTCTATGAACCAAAGTTTTCTAGAAATAATAAAATATAAAGAATACTAGTTTTTTACAGATTATATCGGATCCGCGAGCCTGTTGAAATCAAAAAACATCCCAATTTCTATAGTGAAGATGGCTGGGTGCTACCATCTGCTTGGGATCCTATAATTAATAAAACTAATCCCCAATCCAAGCATATAACTGCAAGACTTTAAAATACTATAAGTTCATACTGCATAGATCGGAACAAAAATTAATAATTTTAGACTATGGTAACCGCGGACTATGACATCTTGACGTTGAACATCTCAATACCCCCCGTGACCATTGTTGCTGTAAAGTGCTCGAAACGTCGGGTATATAAAAAAGTTAATATACGCGATATAATCTGTAAAAACTATTATTATTTAAATGTGCAGCTAGAAACCATTAATAAATGTAAAGCAAGAATAAATTACACTTATGTGACCATAACCAGTTTCTTTTATACGACCTAAGAAGAAAAATAATCAAAAGTTAAAATTTAATTTTTTTCTGCGTAGTAAAAAAAGCGAATGCACAGAAGGGTGGAGCGCCGTTGTACGATTTTTTTTCTTATTTTAAATTCTAATAGCACGGAATTATTGCCTTACGTTTAAAGTCAACTTACCTTTTTTTCAGCTCACTTGAATAATATCTTCTGCCCCGGCAGGAGCCTTAACGTTTAATGTTGTATCAAAAAATTTAGTATGTTTTGGCTAAGATAAATAATAAATAATAGTTAACTAGAGACTTTAAATGAAACTCAATAATATGATGAGAATACTTATAATGCAATTTAATAAAAAAGTGAAACTAAATTCTATCATATGTTTTAAAAACAAATCGTCTATTTGCCTTAAAATCTCTCTTCGTCTCGAATTTTAGCATTTTCTTACGGGCACAGACGAGTAAAAAAGAAAGTACTCCGCGTCACCTACATAAAAAATGAAGCACCCCAAAACAAGCCAGCTACGTGTAAATACGAACCTACACGCACACACTCACACAAAGATAAGCCGATGGGCCGCCATTACATTCGCGTACCAAAAATTGATAAAATGCCGTCGTGTGTCGTTAAATGGTGCAAAAATAATACCACATTACAAAAAAGTGCCAAAGAATTACCTTTCACAGGTATGCCAGTTCAATATTACATTATTTATTACGCACATTACGCACACATATACAGTATAAATGTTGCTTCACTTGCTAGTATCGCGGTGCGGAGTCCTTACTTTTTTACTCGTCCGTGCTTACGGGATTACAATTCGGCTTTTATGGCCCCCAATCGTGGTGAATCCTTACATTTAAAAGTGGCGGCTTCTGTCGTCAACTTTACATCTCGCTCAACAGTCAGGGAATGACAAGGGAGACGTAATAACAAAAGTTAACCCGCACCACCACATTGGACTATTTTCTGAATTTCTTGGTCACTTAAGTATTTCAAAATCGACGATTCAGTAATGCTGTGTTGTCAATTTATCATATCGATGTAGGTTGTTGCGCTGAAATTAAATCAGGGCATCTCGAATAGCCTTAGTATATACTCTGTGCTTTTTAAATAGGCTGCAAATTCACGAATGTGCTTTTTGTCATCTGTAATTATTGCAAGTAGCAAAATTCTCAGGAAGTGCGAAGTAGCTATTGCGTTGAATGACGGTGTCGATCACTTCTTTCAAGGATTCTGGCAAATACCTGGAGGCTAATATAATCTTAAATAGATGTCAATCTCCATCTTTACACGATGGTTTAATCCTAATCGAGAACCGTACCGGGCCGTAAACTTTTACGACAAATGTTGCCAGAGTAATCTAATTCTCTGACGGTGTCTTTGTTGCTACATACAAACATAGGATTCAATTAGCACGTGTAAACCAACAAAAATGTTATTGTTTAGAAAAGAATGTGATTATGAGGATATGTAATATGGAGACTTGTTTGCTAGATCTTCTGGAAAAGAACTTGATTTTACCGCGTAGGCGATCTCGTGCAAGTATCTTTGATTTGTACTCAAATCTGGGGCTATTTTGGGAATGATTCTACTTCGATGGGTTGGAATTCCTAATCGGCATTTTGTTCACAAGTTTTCATTATCTTCTTTCCTAACTAACCAGTGTAAGACTTGGGTACCGAAGTACTTCCGTTAATATGTTAAAACATTTGCGTTCATATGCAGTAAACAAATAATCCGTTGGAGGGGCCTTTATAGCCTTTTTTCAAGGAGTCGTATAATGCCATCGGACTTTTCAGAATTTACATTAATTACCACTACAACCTATTGCTACAAGATGCTCTAGGGAAATACATTCCTTTGCTAAGAACCCTGTGATTGCTGATTCTACTGCTTTCGCCGATGCAGTGCTAGGTACTACATAACCCATATAGATAGAACCCGGGTCCTGAATTAGGGAAATGTGCTCTTTAACAGTCATTGTTCTATAATATTTATTACCTTTTCTCGAAAATTATCCAATTTTTCTGAAGAGAGCTTCTTAACAGACTTGAGTATATTTCTACATTTTAAGGAATAGGCTTTTTAACATTTCTATAACTCGTGTTCTAGCTCCAGTCGGAATAGACACAGTTTGCCAGATATTTTCAACTCTAGATGCCACAATATCTGCTATTTTTTAAAATATTGACTCTTTCACAGTTCCAGTTGCAATTTTATTTGATATCTGGTCCACTTATAGTACTTCATCACATCTTCATACGTAGGTAAAGTGTTCAACTTTTTAATATCTTGGATATCACCAAAAAAGGGACACTTGAATGCACTAGAGGTTCTTTCCATGTTTCAAACAACTAAGAAATATTGTGAAATAGATAAAAACATGACCTTTCACTTTGAAAAAGAATAGCATAAAAGTTTTTGAGATACAACGTGAATATTATTCCCACATCTGGGTAGGGAAGAATGAGAGACATTTCATTACATGTCACCATATTTATTTATGAAAGTTGTCAAAACATTCGGGGCAAATAGATACTTTGCAAGTTTTGCATATGAATCTGGAGCGTTTCTCTTTTACGCGAGTAGAATAAAAGCGGCATCTGCGAAATTTCAAATTATCTTGAGGTAGATGTAGTCCCATATTCAGCAGTCTGATTTCATCAGGAACACCGTATACTCCACCCTTTTTGTTCTTAAAAAGGGGAACAGTCACTTTTTTGGCACGGAAGTTGTTTATGAGTAGACGGCCAAGTCGGAGACGAAAATCTCTGTGTGTCATAAGACTTTTTTGATGGTAAACAATATATGAGTTCACCACAGCCGCCTCGAAAAGAAACCAAAACAAACGGTGCCAGTATTTTCTTGACTTGCGACTCAGAGGATAGGATGATCTATAATGATCAAATAGATCGACTCCTCCCATGTGTTCTGTATATTTCTTTATAGCAACTGGACAAAACATTGCTTTTTTTGAGCCGTTCTTCTGTGTCCTTTGTATTACTTCAACAGACCTTGGATCATGTGCTGTAGTACTTACTAATACATCTTTTGTATCCATCCATTTAATGCATGCAATAGGATTGGAATATTTGAAGATGAACTCACCAGGACTTAGTTTTAGATCTTTGTTTTGCTTGCTAATTTCTGTTGGCAATCCCTTCCTGTTCGCTCGAATGGTTCCTACAGCATATATCTTCTCTGAATACAAAATCTCCAGCAACGGCAGGCTCGTAAAAAAAATTATCAAAAACTATGAAAGTATCTTCTGGCACATTTTGACATAAATCCAAAACAACTCTACACCCTAATCCCTCTTCAGCTGTATTATCTGTTTTGCCTGTATAAATTTGGAACTGATAGAGGTACCCAGTTTTAGAATCGCAACGACACCAGCATTTATAACCTCGTTTAATTAGTTTTTTAGGCATGTATTGTTTCATAGATGATTTGCCTTTAAATTTTATCATACTCTCGTCAATGGATTGATTTTGCGATGAGGAGCAGTTTTGTTGAAATGTTTCGTTCAGTGCGTCCACTATTGGTCGTACTTTACACAGTTTGTCATAGCTCGGGTCATCGCGTTGAGATTCTTCTAATATGTTATCAATGTGAAAATTTTCTGTGATTTTCTGAAAGGGTTTGAAAGGCATGACTTCACTAATTATAGAATTTATATAATATAGAAACTATTTCTTCCCGACCCTTTGAGAACACATATAAAGATGTGGGAATAATTTTCCTACTGCACATTTAAGGGATAATAACTTCCCGCGCGCGCCATTATGACCTGTATTTGAAGTAAGTTTACATAAAAACTTGGTATTTTACTGATTTATAATGAAAACAAACTATATATTTATTAAAAATATTTAACAAAATGTAACAATTTATTTTATAATAGCATATATACATAGCGTCAATCCTGGGTCGAAAATCATCATTTTATAAAATTTCAATAACCTTGCGGAGGCGGTTACTCTGAATCAATCCGAATAATATTTTGCATGAGTTAGTTTAATTTCTAAAGGCAACTTTTGCGAACTATAAAATTATGAAAAAACATTTTTCGCTCCACATTAATGCACAGTGCACACTTCGCTCGACCGACAAATCGATATAATATTCAGTAGCAAGTGGGAACTAACTGTACACCTTATTTGTATTTATACAGTATGAAAGCATACTCATCATATTATCTACCCTACAGCTTTTAAAATATTTTTTCACCTTTTGGGTAATTTTAATGGTAGCACTAAAACTTTACTTCCTCCTTAGGGGTTGATATGCGAGACCATCTCTAGGTATTAAAAATATGATACAAAATAATCACTAAAATAACAAACACCTCCTGTTTGAAAGAACTTTTAGGTATAAATTTCAATATTAAAGTTCATTTTTTTCTTGCGAGGAAAAAAAAACATTTAAATTTGTCAAACTTTTATTCATTCAAATGTATGCGTTAATGTTGAAATATTCTGCATTAATCCCAGAAAACGTCAACACGTAACGTAAAAGCCTTTTATCTCTTCCAAACTTTGTGCAAGCTACCTGTCAGCACTCACAATAAGCAAAGCATTTCACTAGGCTAACTGACGTAACAACTCTAACTTGCTAACAGTCTATTGCTTTCTAAAGTCCAGTTAATGGCGCATCACGAGTCAGACTGTCACTGCTGTAATCCAGTGAACGCAATCGCATCTGAAGTTCAGTGAGTGAAGGGATCGTATAAAACTAGAAATTGAAAATGAAAACTCTGTTCCGGAATTCCCATAACACGTAGGTTGACTTTTGAAACAAACATTTGCCGCTAGATTAAGGAAATTACTGAGTGACACTGATGGATGACATCAATAACTTGTTTCGGTTAACCTTGCTTTTACTCTGTTTCACAGCTCTTAAATGTATTCTAAATGTTCAGTTAAAAATATTATGTTAGAAATAAATATTAATGTAACTCAATATTTATACAACTAATTATTAACTATTTTTTCCACTTAACTATTTGATACTTAATCAGAATTTTCAGTAGAGGAGAACTTTTGAAAACTCGAGCAAGTTAATTTAAAGTCCATTCATTTTTATTATTGGTGGATTAAATTTGAGTAAAACATGCATTTTTTAATTTTTTTAACTAACAATACTTTCCTAGTTCTGCTAAACTAAATTTAACGTTACGTTACAAAAATAATTTTTTTTAATCTCCTAAAACGTGTTTGGGAACGTGAATAATCATCATTTTCATTATCATCATTACAGCCCTTCACAAGTCCACTGCTGAACGTAGGCCTCCCCCAAGTAATGCCACAAAGCACGGTCCTGAGCCACCTGCATCCATCGACTTCCTGCATGTCTTACCAGGTCGTCACTCCATCTAGTGGGGGGGTTGCCCTACACTACGCCTACCGGTACGAGGCTGCCACTCGAGAACCTTTCTTCCCCGTCGGTTATCGGTTCTTCGAGCTATATGGCCGGCCCATTGCCACTTCAGCTTACTAATCCGTTGGGCTATGTCGGTCAGTCTGGTTTTACTGCGGATATCCTCATTTCTGAGTCTATCACGCAGAGAAACTCCGAGCATAGCTCTCTCCATAGCTCGCTGAGCGACCTTGAGCGTCCTCATACGGCCAGCAGTGAAGGACCACGTATATTTTAATAATAATAATAATAATAAACAAAGTAGCGCCATCCCAGCCTGGAGAAAAAGAATTGAGGACCGTATCGCAAAGGCAAGGGCCCTTATCGGCAGACTGATAAGCTTCAGGTCGGGTAATAATAGACCGAGGGTTGTGCGCTCCGTTAGAATGGCGTTTGCTGGGACAAAAATCAGTTTATCCCAGCCGGATATCACGCAGAAACTAACGGAGCACATAGACGACCTGAAGCAAAAGATTGCTGCTTGGGGGAAGCGGATTCGCCGATTTACCGAGAGGTCAAGGCGGTTCAACCAGAATCGTCTCTTCCAGAGTGATCAGAAGAGGCTCTACAAATCATTGGAGCGACCAGAGGTATGTGGAGCGGGCCCAGGACCGGATCAGGCTAACACTGTCGCATTTTGGCGTGGCCTGTGGTCAGAGCCCGTAAACCACAGCGAGGGCTCTTGGACGGAAGTTGTGGCGAGTCAGTGTGCGAGTATTACGCCCATGGACCCCGTCATCATAACGCCGGATGACGTAGCTGAGGCGGTCCGTAGAGCCCCGAACTGGAAAAGTCCGGGACTCGACGGACTGCATCACTACTGGCTGAAGGGGTTCATGGTGTGTCACGCTGTGCTCGCCCGTCAGTTTCAAGAGGCTCTCAACCAGAAGTCGCTCCCTAGCCTCTTCACTACTGGGATCACTCATTTGGTTCCTAAAGACCAGGTTACCACAGACCCGAGCAAATACCGCCCCATTACGTGTCTACCAACCATATATAAGACACTGACATCCATTTTGAGCGCGAGAATCACTCGTCACCTGGAGCTAAATCAGGTGATGTCACGCGCTCAAAATGGATGTCGGGGCGGTGGTCGTGGAACCAAGGAACCACTCCTCATTGACGCGGTCATTGGCAAAGTGGTGAAACGCAACCGTCGGAACTTCTCCGCCGCCTGGATAGACTACAGAAAGGCATTCGACTCGGTGCCCCATACATGGCTAAAGAGAGTCCTCGAGCTGTACAAGATAGACTGTACAGTGAGAGACTTCCTCGAGCAGTGTATGGGGCAGTGGAGTACGATCCTTTGTCATCTGGGTGAGCGGATGATGGCTGCGGAGAACCACATAAGGATAAGAAGGGGTATCTTCCAGGGCGACTGTCTGAGTCCAATCTGGTTCTACCTCTCCCTGAACCCTCTCAGTACCTTACTGGAGGGATCCGGGAGGGGATTTCAGCTACGGAAAGGAGGGGCAAAAGTGACCCACCTTTTCTATATGGATGACCTCAAGTTATTCGCCTCCAGTCGCTCCCATCTTATGGAATTGCTAAACATCACTTGTGAATTTAGCAATTCCATTGGAATGGAGCTGGGGACGGATAAGTGTGCGGTCCTCCATGTTGAAAGGGGAAGGGTTGCTAACTCTGAGGGCATAGATTTATCTATGCCCGTCAACTTAAGGACCCTTTCCGAGGCTGAAACATACCGATACCTGGGTATGTCACAGAACATCGGTATCGATGAGGCTGGTATGAAACAGTCAGTTTGCGACGTGTTTTATGCACGCTTGACCAAAGTGCTTAATAGCCTTTTGTCCGGTGTGAATAAGACACACGCATATAACGGTTGGGTCATACCTGTCCTTATGTATACCTTTGGCATACTCAGGTGGAGTCAGACTGAACTTAACGCCCTGGATAGAAAAGTCCGCACTACCATGACGTCCCATAGGATGCATCATCCGAGATCGTCGGTAATGAGGCTGTACTTGCCGCGAAAGCATGGTCGGCGTGGTTTTCTGAGCGCGCTCACCATGCATAATCGTGAAGTGTGCAGCCTCCGTCATTACTTCCTGGCGAGATCGGATGATCCATTCTATAATGACGTCATTTCTAGTGATAAAGGGCTTACCCCTCTATCCTTAGCCAACGAGCAATGGCAGGACCCAGCAGTGCTTAGCATTTCCGACCGGGAGACCGTATGGAAGGAGAAAGAGCTCCACGGGAGGTACTACAGGGCTCTACATGAGCCCTTCGTAGACACAGTCGCCTCCCTCAACTGGCTGCGTTTCGGTGACCTCTTCGGGGGAAACCGAGGGTTTTGTCTGTGCAATACAGAATCAGGTTATTAAGACCAACAACTATCGGAGATACATCCTAAAGGATGTCACCGTCGACGTCTGTCGAGCTTGTCGCCATCCCGGGGAGTCACTTAGGCATGTCATCTCCGGTTGTTCGGCGCTTTCTAACTCTGAGTACTTGCACAAGCACAACCTAGTAGCCAGAATTCTACACCAGGAGCTCGCTCTGAAATACGGTCTCGTGGACCGGAAATTGCCGTATTACAAGTACTTGCCGGAAGCCGTGCTCGAAAATGACCGCGCCAGGCTCTACTGGGACCGGGCCATCATCACAGACAGGACTATTCTTGCGAATAAGCCTGATATTGTGCTGATGGACCGGGCACAGTCAAGGATATTTTTGGTCGATATTACCGTCCCGTATGACGAGAACCTCGTGAAAGCCGAAACAGATAAGCAAACAAAATATCTGGACCTGGCTCACGAGGTGACCGACATGTGGGGTGGTCTGCCGACCGAAATTATTCCTGTAGTCATCTCTGCAAACGGGCTAATCCCAGTCAGCCTCTCGGGTCATCTGAGGCGGCTGGGACTACGTGGCGGACCGCTCCAGGCTCAAATGCAGAAGGCGGTGCTCCTCGATACCGCCCGCATCGTCCGCCGGTTTCTTTCCCTTTCCCCCTAACCCTCGGCCGTTTGGTCTCCCCTGCCGAGGGCTTCCATCTGGTTGGGCTTTTATTTATTTATGTATTTTCGTATTTATTTTATTTTATTGATATTTTTGTATATTTGTCTTTTCATTTTCGTTTATAATTATATATTTATACATCCCAACCAGATGAGAAAACTATATAGATACCCCATACATAATAATAACGTGAATAATGTAAGCGACAAACCCCCAGTTTCACCTACCGCACGCAGATCACCGAAGA